AGAAAACACTTAACCAAATTCCTAGGGTTCTAGCACGAACCTCTACGACTATAACGCATAACAATAAACAAGCAACGTGTGCCTTACTCATCTAGCACACGATAAGCATCACCAAGACTCACCTTGTTCGAACGGTTATGGCTTAGATCCGGACTTAGGCTCTAAAACGGATATAGGTTCTTCGACTTCTCCATGAACTAACAAATCTTTCCTTTCCTTAAAACGGACAGAGTTTCGGCTTAAATCTTGATCATTCCAACCATCAAAACCACGAGAGGTTGGATTCAAGATCTCAAGACGAAACTAAGTCGGATAGGAAAGTTTGGATCAAAACCCCTAACCTTAACAACTTCCCGGCACTACTGGATGGTTTCCGAAAACAGACCACGGACTAGATCACGATCACAAAATATTTTGGTAAGAGGTTTGGAAACGTTTCTAAGTAGAAAATGGGAGCTATTTGCTCCTATTTATAGGGTTAAGGAGGACGGTCCGCGTGTGTGTGTCGTGCTTCTTGATGACTCGTTGCACACGGTCGCGACAGATTACAGATTTGTCGTGCTTCCGATGACTCAACACACAAGGTCGTGACACCACGTGCTTATGGGATTTATCGTGCTTGCAGATTTGTCGTGCTTCCGATGACTTAACACACAAAATCGCGACACCTCGTGCTTACGAGATTTGTCATGCTTCTGATTTGTCGTGTTTGTGGATTTGTCGTGCTTGCGGATTCCAAGCACGTCAATCCCGAGCAGCTGTATCGTGCTTCCGCAAACTTTTATATTTTTGTAAAAATATTAAGTTTGAAAATACCTTACCACCTCATGCTTCTCGTCACGTCGTGCTTTGGGCCACCTCGTGCTAAAAATCACGTCATGCTTGACAATTTTTCTTCCATCAACTAGGTCTTGGCTTGATCATCTCCCGTAACTGTTTTGATCTCTTTACAGGGTCATTACACCGGTAGTGGAAGAACAAATGACTTGTTGACTCTGGCTCTCCGTATCTGACGCACTTTGATTGAATAATAATTCCTCTGGAAGCTAACTGATTGCCAAGAGGTAAAGCTCCACTCATTGATTTCCATAGAAAGAATTTTAGTTTTTGGGATGTATTGATATTCCATATCTCGGAATTCCAATTGAATCCAGGTGTAGTGAGCTCTGTGAACCGGGACTCATCTTCTTTAGCTGTATGGTAGCCTGATTTTACCGAGTAAACTCCAGAGTGGTGACCCAGCCAAACAAACTGGTCTCTTGCCCCTGTTAAGCTCGGCTTAAACATGGAGATTTGCTGCCATAGTTCAAGGAGAACAGAGGTTACCTTTTCCATGTCCCATTCTCTTCTATCTGGTAAGAATAAATCCTCCACTAGCATATCTTTGTGTTGTTCCAAAGGTGGACCAGAAGGTTGGTTT